AGGGGGGTGGGTATGGAGGGAGGGGAGGGGGGTTGCATGGTCATTAAATCTGGGGTAAGATGCGGGGGTTATATTTGTTGTAGGATTAGTAGGAATGGAAGTAGGCATCACATCTGGTCAAAATCTTTTATCAGTAATCATTGTCACCTGACAGAATTTTCTACACTTTTTTTATAAGAAAAAAAACAAATATAAAAATTGTTAAAAATTGACAACAACACACACACACTCTAAGTAAATATGCACACATGCGCACACACACACACACACACACACACACACACACACACACACACACACAATGCCGCCCTGAAGCAGATAACTGAGCCAATATATCTGCAAACCCTCCAAGATGTGACATCATCATTTCTTCCTTAACTGAGAAAACATCGTACATAATGAAATATTTGAGGTGTTAACCATGTTTTCTTATCCTGAGCAGTCAAGTTACTACTCTACCTTGTACAATAGATAGGTAGATAGATATATAGATAGATAGATGGATAGATAGATAGATAGATAGATAGATAGATAGATAGACAGACAGATAGACAGACAGATAGATAGATGGATAGATAGACAGATAGATAGACAGATAGATAGATAGACAGATAGATAGACAGACAGATAGATCTATCACTCTACAGACTTTCCTTTCACAACATCCGAGTCATCGGTCTGGTGAGTTCGCACCTTCCCTCTCGGTACTGCGACAACACACGTGTCATGACAATTCCGCAAACACACACAAACACACACACACACACACTACACCTTCTGTTGTTTATTATGCTTCTCTGCAGTGTCTCAGCAAGCTGCTATCAGAAAACGTGTTCACTTTTTGCTATCAATCCGTCTCTATACATCCCACCCAGTTCTTTTATCATGCCTTCACACTTACACATTGTACATATATTTTTTTAACCTACACCACAATCTGAAATACAAAATCAGACATAATTTCCCTCATCTAGAGAGTGACACGGTATTTCTGAATCATTCCCCCTAAGTCTACGTCAGGCACGAGCAAACTTCTCCCCTCAAGTCCACCCATGAATCGCTGATGACTGTGGCCCACAAAGGGTGGAGAATTAATAATAATTTGGTAAAATACTGGAAAAAAACCAAATTAATAGTTTAATGTTTAACGTGTCCCGCACGCTCATTTGACCTTACACAGTTGCGAGCGCCGTAAAACACTGACACCCCCTCCTCCCCC